GCTGCCTGCTCCCTTTGCTGCCTATATCAAAGGCCACTAAGGCCCACCTGTCCCCATTGGTTCCGGGGGCATCAAGCTCTCACTTCTGCCCTTGACCTGCCCCCTCCCCACCTCAACATGGGAAGTGTCAGCCCTGCTAATCTCCTCTAGGCAGCTGTTGACTTTTGGACCCTTCAAGCTTCACCTTTGACACATTCTGCTTTGCAAAGGGAAATGGCCTCCATCCACTGCCCACTGCAAGCTGCCACCAACCAAGAAGCAGCAAAGTCGCCTTTTATCAGCTGTGAATAAACAGCTCTTGCAAAGCCCAGATGATTTTAAGGAGTCGCACAAAGCCATTTCCATTGAATTGGTGTTCCCAGTTTCCTCTCCTCTTCATTTGCTCTTTCAGTTTTGCTTTGTTTCCACTTTGTCCCCCGTATGCTAGGATTGCTATCAATTATCAGTGCAATCTAAACATTCCACTGGCTCGCTGTTCATTTTGGCATATCACCCCACAGCAATTCATGACAGCATCGATTGAGTGCAAGGGGAGGGTTCAGACTTGAGGGTTGGCTGTTGCATCTGGGTGCAGTGGTAGTAAACCAGAACGCCAGTGCATTCACGCCACGCAAGCTCTTGAGACCCCAAGCAAGGCCAGGCTCTTCTGTGGCACACATAGCGCTGGACTGTACAGGCCACGGCTGAGTCCAGCGACCATGAGAGCAATGCCGAAGAAGCCCCAGACAAGCAACACCAGGGCTGATGCTCAGAAGTTCCCACTGCTCTCCATTTCTTCCCAGACTTTGGAGCAGCCGCCTGGTGGGAGTTTCCGGGAGCTGCTCTTGCTGGCGAGGGGCTGTCCTTCAGAACGTTTTTCCAGAAAGCTTTTCTCCAGCAAGTGTCCTGCACAGGCTCCTCCTTGGCTGCCTTCTCCCTGAAGTGTTGGGTGATGCAACCGTGAGGGAGGCAGGCAGGGCGGCCGGGACTACCGCCCTGTGGTCCCAGCACCATCCCCAGGCCACGCAGCCTCCCCTTCTTTGGCTGCAGACACTAGATAAGGCTGACGGTTCCAGTAAGCAACAAGTCAGGCGAAATGCCGCAACCCATGTGATCCTGGGCAGACTCCACCACGCCATGGGGGAGCCACGAGGCCTCTGTCCCTGCAGAGGGCCAGGTTGCCCATCACAGTCTTAGACTATTTAGTGTGTGGAGGAGAATGGGAAAGCAACTTGGGAAAGCTACAACTGGAAGACGTAGCTGATATGGAAATTGTACAAATATTCTATTTTCAAAATAATGTCTCCTCCAAGAAGACCTGAAGGGCCTTTATGGGCACTCTTCCAAGCTTTCAGGGCTTTGGCAGGCCCCTATCATGCCTCCTGGCCCCCAACTCCTGTGCATAGGTGGGGATGTATATACTTGTATTATTTTTATCAGATATCATCATCTTGTACAGTATCCAGCTACGAACTCTCCTGCCCATTCCTGAGCAAGCAGTAGAGCATCTTCTGCAGAGGAAAATCTTTTCCTATGTCAACCAGAATTTGCAAAGGACGGAGACAACTGGGGGGGTATCATGCCACTGGATTTTCCAAATGATTCTGAGGAAGTCTCTCCAAAGGCTCCATAGAGAATGCAACAGCTACAAGGGACTTTTATGCATTGATAACTGCTCAATTTATGCCGCAGGATAGTTAAGAATAGACGATCATCTTGCACAAAGGAGGGAAGAATGCGTGAAGCTATTTCTTGACCTGGTGCGATCTAAGCCAATCATACACAGTCTGGAGTCTGGGGCGCACAGGCATGCGATGCCAGTCCCCCCGGGCATGGCAAGCTCCTTCGAGGTTTGTTACGCCAAGCAAGGCACCCGGGAGCCACAAGCTCTTCCCCAATGGCAGTGGGCCTCAGCTGGCCTGGGTTATCCAAAACGGGGCCTTATGGCCTAATTAGGGTGGGCAGGTCGCTGAGAACAGCTGCCCCATTCGTTGCACTGCAGTGGGGAGAAAGGCAAAAGGGGGGAGCTCATGCAGAGGAGGTCTCATGTCGTGGCGTGATGCCTGCCAGATGGGTGCAGGAGGAAACAACCAGGGAAACACCCACAGGTGCTGCTTCCTGTCACCTGTGCCTGGCTGCTCCAGGAGTGAGGCTCCTAAGAATCCCACAGGACTTTTACAAACGTGGCACCGCCTGGTGCGCTCCTGCTGCGGGAAATTCACAGAGGCGTGAAAGCTGCCTGTTGGCTCGCACAACAGCCAGCCAGCAGCTGGCCGAATCGTTTTACACTCGAATGACACGTGTGGGAGAACGCAGCGCACACCCGCCTATGTTGGCACTGTCTGTGCGGAAACCTCGTGTCGGGCAATGGCCTCAGTTGTGCGCATGCTGGAGCACTTGTTCCCGTGCTGAAGGCTTGTTCCCCCAGGCAGGAGAAACGCGCAGGCGGCTCCTCTCCCGCCACCCCGACACAGGCGCTGCGCCTCTTTGCCTTGCGCTGCCTTCGCCCTGAGGCCCATCCCTGCGTGGCTGGGTTTTCTCTTGGTATCTTCTCCCCGGCCGCACACAGCCCCTTTTGATCGAGATGGACTTCCTGCAGACACGATGCATTCTCCTAGTCCTAAATGAGGCCGTGCGGGCAGAATTTTGCTTCGCCCTTCTGCAGTGAATCAGCAACCGGCCCGATGCTCTTGTGGAGGTCAGCCGGTCCCGGACAAGAGCTGTCCGAACAAAGAGAAGTCCGGAGGGGCAAATGCGGCTTCGCGGGAAGGAGACAACTCCCTCGGCTGGCCAGCAGACAGACAAAGGAAGCGCCCACCGCCCCCTGGCCTGGAGGTGCGCTCGCTCGTGCTGCTGTGTCGGGGCGCACATAACTGCCCAGGGAAAACACGCCCCAAGAAATGTGCGACAGCTGCTGGGGACTCTCTGTCTTTGCAAGTCCACGGGAAGTCAGGAGCCTTCAGGTGGGAAGCGGGGAAGGGCTCGGTCCCTCGAGCATCCCGTCCCGCAGCGGCGCCGCGGGAGGGAGAGGGCGGCTGGACGCCCAGGGGCTCGCCGGGCGGGCCGCCGGCGTCCTTCCGGCTGCGGGTTTGCGCGGCCGCGGCCGCAGCGCCAAGGTGGAGGAAGAATCCGGGCCGGAATGTGGCCGCGGCCGCTTCCCGCAGGCCTCTCCCACCGGGCCGCCGAGGGGCGCGCAGCTCGGCTCGCTCGGCACGGCGCGATGCGTCGCCCTTTCCTCGGGGTCTCCGGGGGTGCCAGAGCCCTGCCTCGGCTCGCGGGCATCCTCCGGGCGGTCCTCCTCGCGAGGCTGGAAGATGCGGTGCGCCCCCTTTTCCCGACTCTCGTGGAAGCCGCCGCCGCCGCCGCCGCCGCTCCTGTCCCAAAAGGCCGGTTGGCGCTGGGAGGGCGCTGCACTGCTGCGGCTCGGCGAAGGACGGGGATTAGGTGGGGGCTCGCCGCTCCCCTTGCCTCTTTTGGGTGGACCCTCGCCGCATCTGGAGAGCCGCCTGCCCTTCTCCCACGGAAGCCCTCGAGCCGCTTCTCGCTTTCCTCCTCCTCTTCCGCTCAGCAGGTGCCGGCTTGCCAAAGGCCGAAGGGCAAAGCGGAGGGACAGATGGAGACTTCCTAGGCGGCCTCGTGGCTCGGAATTCGGGCGTGTGGGGCTCAGCGGGTCGGCGGGCCGAGGGCTGGGAAAGACGAGCACGGTGGAAGAGGACTTCGGGAGCCCAGTGCCCGGGAATTTCCTTCGGAAGACATTCCAGGGAATGCGCGTCCGTTTCCTTTCCCCGCAAGACAACCCTGTGGAAGAGAAGGCCCGCAGCGGCTGGTTGCCCTCCACCTGGTGGCAGGGCTAGGGCCAGAGAAGCGGCCCCGGTGAAACGGGGGCATCCAAAGGCTTGGGGCGGACACCTCCATCTGCGCCCCCGCCCAGCCGTAGCGCTCCCCCACCACGACCTTTTCGCTTCTGTCTCTCTTCCGGAATTCTTCTCGCCCACTAGCTCTGCAGCCGGGCCACGAAAACGGGATGCCGCGATCCGCCTTCTGGGCCCGGAAGGCCGCTGTGCATCGCGGCGCAGTCCAGCGACGCGCTCGGCCGGCCTCAGCCGCCACTGGAAGCGCCAAATCCCCAGAGCCGAGCGGGAGAGAGGAACGGACCCGGAAGGGGCTGCTGGACCAGTGTTCCCGCAGGCAGTGGGCCGCCCCGCCGGCCGGCCTGCTCCGTGCTTCCTCGGAGGTTCGCTGCGCAACGCGCATCCCGCGGCAACGGGAGAAAGAGCAGGGCAGCGGGGCGCTCAGGGGTCCCACCCGGGGATGCTGCTCCTTGTGCTCGGGGGACTGCGTGGATACCCCGGGGACAGCCCGCCCTGCCCCTGTTGGCAGGGCCCGCTGGCCGAACGCCCACCTTCGCGCTGGACACGCCGAGCAACCCTTCCCGGAGCTCGGGGCGACGAAGCGAAACAGCTCGGGACCCTCAAGAGCCGGGCCGGCTGCGCCGGGCCAGGGCTCGGTGCGTGATGCGCGCGCGCGCGCCCATGCGCGCTCCCGGATCGCTGAAGGCGCGGAGCTGCGAGAGAAGGGGGAGGCGCTGCGCGAGTCCCCAGCGCGCATGCCCGCTCTTCCCAGCACCAGCAGCTGCATCCGCGCTGTCTGTAGCCAAAGCCGCTGGAAGGGTCAAGCGCGAGAGCTGGCGATGGCGAGGGAAGCGCTCAGACACCTGCCGGGGCGGCGGGGCTGCTGTGCGGGGACGGGGCCTCTCAGCGGATCGCGGCTGTAACAAAGGAAACCTGCCCCCGCCCCCGCCGCCTCAGGAGCGAGCCCGGAGCCCCGGAGAGCGAAGCGCCACGCCAGCCGCGCCGCCGCCAACCCGCGGAGCAAACTTGCTCGCGGCTCGGGCTGAGCCTGCCGCGCGCCCGCCGGCGAGGAGGAGGAAGGCGGCGGGGAGGACAGGCGCTTCCTTGTACCGAGCGAGCGACGCCAAGCCAGATAGATGTGTGCGCCACACGCGCGCCCGACCGGTCAGCATGAACGCGCAGCTGGCGATGGAGCATCTGGGCGACCTCCACGGGGTGAGCCATGAGCCGGGGCCCGCCGCCGCCGCCGCCGCCGACCTGATGAGCAGCAGCCCCCATCAGCGCTGCTCGCAGGCGCATCGCGGCGGCGGCGGCGGCGGCGGCGACCCCCTGGCCGCCGCGGCACACTCGGTGCGCCCGATGGGCATGCCCTCCCTCCTGGACGGGGGCGGCTACCACCCGCACCACCCGCACCGGAGCGCGGCGGAGCACCCGCTGGCGGGGCCTCTGCACCCCGCCATGAGCATGGCCTGCGAGACGCCCCCCGGGATAAGCATGAGCAGAACCTACACCACCCTCACGCCCCTGCAGCCGCTGCCGCCGATCTCCACCGTCTCGGACAAGTTTCCCCACCCCCCGTCCCACCACGCACCGCCCCAGCGGCTGGCCGGCAACGTGAGCGGCAGCTTCACCCTCGTGCGCGACGAACGGGCCTTGGCCGCCTCCGTGAACAATCTGTACGCGCCATACCACAAGGACGCGGCCGCGGCCGCCGGCCTCGGGCAGAGCCTCTCTCCGCTGCCCGGGCCCGGCCTGAGCGGGCTGCACAACTCCCAGCACGGGCTCCCGCACTACGCGCCCCACCCCGGGGCCGCCATGCCCGCGGAGAAGATGCTGGCGCCCGGCGGCTTCGAAGCCCACCACCCGGCCATGCTGGGCCGGCACGGCGACCCGCACCACCTCCCCGCCGCCTCCGCCGGCGTGGTGCCTCTGCACGGGATCCCGCACGCCCACGCGCACCTGGGCGCCCAAGGCCACGGGCAGCTGCTGGGCTCCTCTCGCGACCCCAACCCGGCCGCCGGGGCCCCGCAGGTGAACGGCGGGAGCAACGCCGCGCAGCTGGAAGAAATCAACACCAAGGAGGTGGCGCAGCGCATCACCACCGAGCTGAAGCGCTACAGCATCCCGCAGGCCATCTTCGCCCAGAGGGTCCTGTGCCGCTCCCAGGGGACACTTTCCGACCTGCTCAGAAACCCCAAGCCCTGGAGCAAGCTCAAGTCCGGGCGGGAGACGTTCCGGAGGATGTGGAAGTGGCTGCAGGAGCCCGAGTTCCAGCGCATGTCCGCGCTCAGACTGGCAGGTGAGGGGGAGAGCCAGGCTGGGGAGCGCGGCGGGAGTGGGGGGGAGATCTGCCTGATTGGAGGGGGCGACTTTTTTAAGGGACCACTCCTTCCCGCTGCGGAGCCGTAGGGAGCCTGGAAGGACCCCCCCCCGCGCGCCCGCAGCAGCCGGAGGCCTTCGGGTCCTTCCCCCGGTCGTCGGGTCGTTCCCCCGTCCGCTCCCCTCCCGCGAGGCTCCGGCTCAGCTTCCGATCAGCGGCGCTGGAAGGGAAGGCGCGGACTGGGGCGTGTGACGCGCGACGGCTGCGGGCGCTGCAGAAGCCTTCGCGACGGGGAGGAACCTGCTCCCCGCTGCCTCGCGGGCCGGGCAGAAGCCGGGCCGGCTCCGGCCGGGGCCTGCATCCTCCTGGGACCCCGCGCCTAGCGGCCGCAGAGTCGGCGGCAGACCCGCCCGCCTCGCCCAGGGCGCGCGTCACGGAGGCCGCGGCCGGGCGGGCGGGCCGGCCCGGGAACGCCCGCCCCGCGATTGCCGGCTCCCCGCGCGTCTCCGTGGCGCGGGCCGCGGCAGGCCCAGGCGGGCGGCTGCGGAGGACGCGGCGGCGGCTCTGCCGCTCTCTGCGAGCCCGCTGCACGGCGCGCGGCCGGCGACTCCGGGATGCCCGGCGGTGTCCCGTGCGCTCGCCGACTCGTCCTCGGGAGCGGCGGCTGCGGCGCTGCCGGCGCCTTCGAAGAGCGTCCGGGCCGGACGAATTCTTGTCTTGCCTTTGGAAGAGGCGCCTCTGGAGCCACTGTTTAAACCCCGCTCGTCGGGCGAGTCCGTCCCTTTGGCACTGGCCATTTCCATGTTCCAGGTGTTTGTGTCCGATTAACGTGGAGCGGCGCCGAGCTCCGGGGTCAGGAAACACGTGGAGCCCCGGACCCGTTTACACGTTCACTCGGCGAATTTGGTAGGCGGATAGGGCAGGGCAGGCGGTTGTGTGGCCACAAACCAGGCTCCCATTCTCGTTTGGGGCGCTTGCTCAGGCCGTTTTCAGTGCGACGGATGGGGGAGAAAGACCGGGGCCTGGGTGGGCTGAATCCCTGCTGAGAGGCTCCTTGGGCAGCCGGCAGGATACTATGGCCGCCGCGCCTCGCCGTGTCGGGCTTACGAAATCTGCTTACCGCCGAAGCAGCTTCCGCACCTCAGAGGATCCACGGATGGATGGACGGACCGCGGGTTCCGAGTCTCCACGAAATGATGGCTTGCGTCGGATTCTGCTTGCGAGAACCCAGCCACGGCTTCGTAGCAACCCCAGGAAGGTTTCTCTCCCCGCGGGTGCCATTGAGTTGCCGCCTGAGAGAGACGGGCGCGCCTCTCCCGCGAGGAAGGATCTGGCCTTGAACCGAGAGGCTTTTGCGAGCTCGTCCCCTGACAAGGCCAAACGGCCCGCTTGACTTTCAGCCAGGCGCTGATCCGCTTCTGAGGCCCGAGAGAGGCGTCGGACATGCCGCTTCCAGCGAAGGCCGGGCGGAGCGGAGCGCGCCGCGCGCCCTGCCAGCTCTCTCCCGGAGATCGCCTGGGTCCCCGACCGGGGGTCGTGCTTTGCCCCCGCGCAGGTCGCACAAGCAGGGCTGGGTGACCCGGCTGGGAGCACGTTCGTCTCTCGATCCCTCCCCGGCGAGGTGCTCGCTCGCCGAGGCAGGGTTCCTCTTCTCGGAGCCGACTCGGCCCTTCCGCGGACCGAGAGCTTTCCTGGGAGTGAGGAGGAGAGGAGGGGCAGCGGCGGAAGAAGGGATTCCCCATCCAGTGGGGCCTGGGGCGCTTCAGAAGGACAGGCTGACGACTGGGATCGCCGCTTCTCTGCAGAGATCGATGCTGGATAGGAGCCCTGGCAGCCGGGTCGGTCGACCCGCCTTTTCCGCGCGGGGAAGCTGTGCAGATGCGACCCTCTCTGTCCCCCACCCCCTAATTTCCCGTCCCCTCCTTTCTTCCCACGGCCCACGTCTCACCACGCCCTGACTCAGGGTGGCATCGCCTCCCCTTCCCCAGAAGAGCGCGCCTCCGGTTTCGCTCACCAGAGCACGACGTTTGCCTGGGCCCTGGCAGCCGCCCACCAGCCCCGCAACGGGGGCTCCTTCCCCTGCACGCGCGGGGGTGTCGCTGCTGGCAGGCCCCCTCCCCGTGCCTGGAGAGGATGGAGCGACAGCAACACGGAAGTTAAAGGGAGCGTGGCTGCGGGAAACTGATCTGCCAGATCTCCGCTGAAGGGCGGCGCGTGAGCTCCGATTTGGACGCACCGTTCAGCTGGAGGGAGCAGGCTGGGGCAATTTACGTTACGCTGAGCGGATGTGCATACATCAGTATCAATCGGCACCGATTTTTACCACTTAGGAAGATCATCTCACGTTTCAAATCTGCTCACAATAAATCAATACTTGAGTGCTGCCGACGGACCTGGCAGCCGCTGAGCAGGATCGGTGGGGAAGGCGCCAGCGGGGCCCCTGTGGGCACCCTCCAGCAGCCAGAGGGAGCCCGCCGAGCGGATCGCGCCCTGCCCGGCGCACCTTCCCCTTCCCGGCTGCCGGGAGGACGGGCGTGTGTGGAGAGTGGGAGGGGGGACGCCGCGGCAGGCCCTCCAGGGAACTGGCGGACAGAGCCAGCCAAGCCAGCCGCCTTCGCCCGGTGTGGGGGGTGCATGGAGCACAGCCGTCACCCGTGGACACGCACGACGAGCGAGAATGCGGGACGCCTTCGCCCAGCCGCGCTCTGGCGGGTTGCGCCGGGGGGCCGACGCCATGAAGCCTCCGCACCCCCCCCGCCCCCTCGAGGATGGCGAGTTTGCTCTGGGAAGAGTCACACTCCAGCCCGGGAAGGTCGGCTCTCCTGTGCCACGGCGACGGGGACGCCACCCGCAGGCGCGCCCGGCCTCTCCTGCGCGGCTCCTCTCGCCTGGGCGACGTTGTCCCGCCTCCAGCTTGCCCCTTCGGCCTCCATCCTCCGGGTAAAATGTCGCGGCAGCGGCGGCAGCTGCAGGATCCGAAGAGCTGTCGCATCCTCGCCCCGGTGGCAGGAGGGAAGCCTGCGTGGCGGAGGGACAGGCAGAGCGGGGGACGCTCGGCCAAACCGTGCCAGAGCCGCTTCTGGCCGAGGGGCCCGGCGCGGACGGCGCCGATGGGCGAAGGCGCTCCGCGGGGCGAGCGACCCGCGCGGCTCCTCCTCGCGCGTCGCCAGAGCGGCCTCCGGGCGGCGGGGGGACGCGGGGTGCGCCCGCCGGGCGAGCGCGCTCCAAGCGGCCTCGAGGAGCCCGCTCGCGTCCCCCGGCGCTGGGCAGAGCCGCCTGTCGGGGACACGAGCCGAGGCGTCTCCCCGCCGTCCATCCCGCTTGAGCGCAAGGCCGGTTCCACGAAGAGCGCTGCGCGGGCGCAGCCGGAGAGCTCCTGGCCTCTGAGGGCGCAGAACGCTTCCGCGGCGCGGTGAGCGCAGTCCGATCCACGTCTGCGCAGAAGTCTGTCCCTGGCTGAAGGGGATCTACCTGGGAGCAGGCGCTGTGGGACTGGCTTCTCCGCAGACACGCGTGGGACTGCCTAGTGAGTATAGCAGTGGGAAATGCGAGGCGAACCCTTTTCGCCTTCCAGCAGCGGACTCGCCTGCTAAGCAAGGCGGTGGATCCGCTTGTCTCCTTCCTGCCTGGCCGGAGCCCCATCTGAGGCCTGGGGAATAGCAACTGTCTGCAACCGAAAGACTTCGGGCTTCGGAAGTTTCCTGGAGAGGAAAGAGAAGCAGGAAGTATTGCCCTCGTGGCAGGTTTGGTTCTGGAGGAGAATCCTGAACAGGAAGATCAGACGAAAAAGGCGCGCACGAAGTACAGAGCGGCTTAACGATCTCCTTGCCGTTCAGAAAAGCAGCTGTTAGTGATTATGTCAATATCTGGCAACCCCCTCTAATCAGCACATTCAATTTATTTTCCTGATATTTACTCCACAAGCTCGGCATAGCTTGCAAAACTTGTAACAGCACAAGAGAAACATAAATCAGTGGTGAATTTAAACAACTGCAACTCTAACCGAACAAAAGCAAAACCTCCGTTGCAGCATCTGCAACACCAATTAAGCACCTTCATTAAGCAATAAAATCATATTAAACCAGCCCCTTTGGGAGCAGAACATCAACACCGGTAGACAGAAACTGCCAATTCATGGTCCATTTTTTTTCTTCCTTTGCAGAATTCCAACAACTTGCACTCTGCGGTCCTTCGGGTGAGGAGAGTCATAAAGCGAACTTCTCTCTGGGGTGGCAATACACTCTTGCCATGCATTGATTGATTTAAACATACCTTAGAAACTTATATTGTGGTCCATGCATGTCTACTCAGTCCCGGTGACCTCTGTGGAGCTTGCTCCTGCATGAGCGTTTATATGATTGCAGCATTAATGTTTTAGAGGTGGTATTCGTGACCCTTGCTCCTTATCCACACAATAACCAACCATTCCCCCAATCCCTTTCAGAGTCAAATGGTCAAGCCAGATAGATCGAAAGACCCTTCCAAATCAGCTGCAGTACCTATTGGTTCTGGAGGACCATAATCTGGCTTGGTGCAGAGAATGCTCACCAAGAGGCTCTGGAGAAGGAGGCATTTCTCCAAAGGTCCTTTCCCTTTTAAAAGCAGGTGTTTGCTCGTGGTAGGAATGCCATTGCTCAAAAACCAAGGAAGGGCCTTTCTGTGATTCTAGAATCTCACAGAGAGTTTCCTTGCTCCCACCTGCTGAATGATGCAGAAGCGATGCAGCTTTTGACATTCTCAGGGCCAACTTGTCGATCCTTTTAACTGGACACGGTCCAGGCTGAACCCGGGACCTTCTGTGCTGGAGCAGATGTGCTGCTGCTGCGCTGCAGAGCCCATCCCAGGAACCCACCCGCCCCCTCCCCTTTCAGTTTTGCTGACAATTATTTGCTGTTAGTCCAGGAAGAATAAAAGGCTGTCGTAGAAGTTTGGTGAGACTGGATGGAATTACTGATAATCAGTTATGTTTTATAAACCTG